ATCGCGATAGTGGAGGATTTTTTTGATTAAATTAAATTTTAAACGTATATCATGTAGTGCGTGATCAAAAATGGACTCCTGTCTAGAATCTGTGGTGCATGAATTCTAGAACCGAAAATGGCCTAGATTGTGAAAAATGTGGTAACGAGACTCTCATAGCTTATGGGAAACTTCCCGTAGGGCTTAATGCCATTTATTAACCTATTTTTATTATTATAATTAAAGAATGTTGTGGTAAGGTGTGTTCACCATTTGGGACGGATTTCTCTCGTCCTACACCACAATACTACACCACAAAAGATTGTTGTATCCTTTTAGGGTACACTTGTGATGTTCATACGTATATAATTGAATTGATTTGATTTGAACTGAATTGATAGCTTTATTAAAGATATTGGTATATTAATGATAAAAGTAAGAAATAACGACGAACAAGTAAAATGCGAAAAATAATAAAAAAAGAGATAACAAACGCCGCGCTTCGGCTAGTAGCCTTCTTCAAGTATGAGCGATACTAATAAAAAGACAGTATGATGAAGGGTCAAATAGAGTTTCAATACTAAATACAACTCTTCAAAAATTCATCAATAGCTTGACTTAGCGTATTTGTACCAAAATTGTTTAAGTGAATACCATCAGGAGTCAGGATGTTTCGGTTATATTTGCAATCAATAATATCAACATCAGATAAAGTTAATAACTGACGATTAAAGTCTTCTATGTCATGATTAAGCTGCTGTTGTAGGGATGGTTTTCAATCATCTGAAGATTACATTTCTTCGGCACAGGTACAATGAGGTTTGTAGTCCACTAGCTTGGCGCTTTGTGTTGTTCGTATACGCTTGAGCAAAGTGTGTGAATTTCGGTTCGAATGAAGTTGCCTCCCCGTTTGAGTACTTCTGCTGTAACCAAACTGTCCTCTCCTGGTGCCTTGTTGTCTTTGAGTGAGTCGATGACCTCTTTGACCTCCTGTTGACTGAAATTTGAGGTTTTGATTTTTTCCAGATAAAACTTTTTCAGATACCGACGAGCGTATTCTCGCAAACTCAAAAGGATGTACTCGGATAATCACCAAGTTTTTAAAGAAAGTTTAGGTTCCAAAAGGGTTTCGGATAATAGTCTTTCGGGTTCGGACGATGCCCTTTCCGTTTTCGTGTTAGAAAACACTAGATAGAAGCCAGACCAGATCTTGATGTATTTTTAGTGTTTTAATACTTTGTTTATATATAAAAATGGTAAATTAGAAAAGAAACCTTTTCAAATATATAGTCTGCATCTGCGTCTAAAAATCCCGTCAATTACTGAGAATGAGAAAGAATAACAGCATGTTGATTTTATTAAAAAGTAGAATTTTTATTAAAAACATTTTTCATAATGTATGTAATAGTGATATAATTGAAAAACTATGTACACATGAAATATCATTTGAAGAAATGAATGAAATGATCAATGATATTATGACTAATTCTATTACACATGCAATCGAAAACGAACAAAATCATACACAATTATTATTGAGTAAAAAAATTATGTTACAAAATAATAATGAACATTATATTAAAATTCCGTTTCTTGTATATCTTCAATTAAAACTGCAAAAAAACATAGAAAGAAATAAAAAAATTAAATTTTGATCAAATTCTCTTTAATACAATTATAACTGATTCTTTAAAAAAATATTCAATAAATGAATTAGAAAGAAAAATTTATTTGAAAAATTATTTTCGTGTAATGAACATGATAGAAATTCTGTTTTGCAGTCTTTGAATTGACATCGCTCATCGAAGAAGGGGAAAAGTTTTGCTTGTTGTTCCTGCTGCATCTACACAAGTAGTCATTCCGGTAGTATATTAATATGATGAGTCAAAATTATAAGTATAACATTAAAAACATTGTTGTTAGTCATATTGCAAATGCCAATTGCCTTTTTTTCCACATTGAAAACCGATATCTTTTGTTCCGTCATCCCATTCAATATCTATTTCGGTATCACCATCCGAGAATCCAATTATTATTCCACGTTTGACGTCTCTGTCATCCTGATTTTGACACCATTTGCGGCAGGATGAATCTTTATTTTCCTTTACTCTATCTCCAATTTCAGGACGTGCATCACAAGATTTAATGTTTACCATAGTACCCGGTTGTATTTTACAGCGACGAAGATCGTACTTGAGTGTTTGAACTCTTTCATTTAGTCCAGCTATCTCTCGTTTACGAGAACTATCGATTGTTTTCAAATGGTGAATTGAATCGATTAAATAAAAATCGTCTTCTTCTACTATTTTATCAAGATCAGACATCGTCAACGACTGATCACCGTTCAAATATTGCATTAGTAAACTGAAAAATTTGGGATCTTGTTCTCGAAGAGTAATAGCATCTTGCTTGTCCTTTTCAATACCTACATTAATGTTCAGTAGTGTTCTGAAATAGTCACTCTGATCAACTAGTTTAAGCCGATTAATACTAAAATGCTCACCACTAATATTGAACAAAACTATATCGTCACTCATGTCAGTTTGTTTTTTATCTAAAAATCCGAGTCAGTAATGTAATTACGACAAAACGGAACTAAATATTTGTTACTAGGCAAGCATTATAGCAAACTAATAAGAAGTTTTTGTTCGTTGGACTAACTAGATTTAAGACGAAAAGCAGATTGGACCACGCTACAAAATCCGAGAAAAACACTAATTTAAAAGAAGTTTTCCAAAATTTAGCCAGGAAACATACTTCCTTTTGACAATCTTTATAAATTGTAGTTGACTGTTGTGTGCAGTCTACTTGTGAATGGCTTTCACAATGCAAGATAGAACAAAAGAAAGGAAAAACATCGCGTTCTTATGATTTGGGCGAGTGACACACTCTATTGAAGAAGTAGCTCGAAATTCCTAGATTCGATACTGGTCCATGGGTGACACTCTAGCTATTGCTCAATGTCACTGGAAACACTGTTCAATGGCGGATATTCCTGGTAAGGTTTTTATATTCGATTCAAACGCTATAGAACGACATGAAAAAGTTTAAGTAAACGAATAAAGTTTGAATGTCAGTGTATGCAAATTAAAAGGCGCAGCAAATGAAATCTGGTATTAAACAAGATTCTTAATAGTTCGAAGCATTTCTTATGGCAGAAATACTTCAGGTCGTCCTGCAAGGTAAAAGTGCTTAAATTTCATATAATTCAACTCTTCTTGTTGTCACAGAACTATATCAGCTAAGAGAGTTAAACAATCAACAACAAAACTAAGCGTCTTCTGTTTTGTACTTTCAAGTCTTACATTGACTGAAAACAACGAAATGACTGACGAATACATATGGTATTCAGTTTGATTCAAATTGGAATTTATTCGTGTAAGCTGTTGCAATAGTAGAATTCAATAATTTGTATTTAATAAATGATAATGTAGTAATAATAACAATAGTTAAGCCGAAGCAGTTTCTTTTATATATTAAAGAATTAGTAAAACCTTGGTTTTTTCTTATAGTTTTCTTTCCAAAAATCACACTAATAGCATAACTATTACATACTTCTATTCTGGCTTAATAAAGTTTTTTCTTCTTCTTATTGGTAGTTTAACTTATTTCTAACAAAATTCGTTCACATTTTCTTGTTTATTTTTAAGTTTTAAATTAAATTGAAAAATTGGAATTTTGAGTTACAGCCATAGTTTTCTATTAAAAGGTTAGCATTTCAACGCTGAATCCGAATATGTTATTTAAAATGCTCTATATCCTAACGGTGATTTTCAAAACACTTTTAATTTAACTAATGTAATCCAAAAAGCACGATTTTCTGAAAGGCCTACTTGCAAAGGTTTTGGAGGAAGCTTTCTAGAGACAAAAATAATGAGGACCTCGAGAAGCCCTTTTATATCGGAAGACAGCTCCATAGCAACAGTTCTTGGTGAAGTAGTGTAGACCAACTTTCTGGTGCAGGACGCTTAAGGCCGCGCAAAACCACTGACATTCATTACTAAATGAATTTCAAAAAAAGGTGACAAAGCTCCAGAAGTTTCTCCAGGCTCGCACGATGGTTAGCCCAGTAAAACTTCTACTTTTTTTGACATATTCTCCGATGCTTTTCTGGAATGGTCTGATGATAGTGTCTAGTTTCCAAAACTTACTACATAGAAACACTAGATATGAATGAATATTCGACGATCTTGGATGTAATACAATACTATTTACTAGCCATTACGTGAACTTTTATTAATGTAAAAGAAAACATCACAATAATTCTCTAATTAATACCAGAAATTTTAGAATATATTTCATTTCATGTACATCATGTTAGATTTCAGCCATAAAGTCACGTATAGCTTCAACAGCTTGTCCGCAGGATTTGGGATAAATGCCTAAACAAATAGAGGCAAACAACTAAGATAGAGGCATTATCATACACCAAACATTTTCAGAATGGGAAACGAATTTGAAGGGCAATTTGTTTTAACAATCTACTAATTCCAAGAAAACCGAAATATTTTATTTTATTTTGATCCAACTCTTACCTGGTAAACTAAAGAATGAATGTATTGCACCCTTAATGAGAAGAAGTTTTGTTTTTATACCATTTTTTTCCAATACTTTTTGATATTCTATAAAAATAAAAGATTAGAAGTTAGTCGAATTACATAATACATTTCAATGTAGTTATGAACAAACCCATACCATAACTGTCATCTCTAATTGGATCTAATTCAGCTACAATAAACAAACAAGGTGGAACATTTGTAAATGATGTTTGTAATAAAACAGATGCACGAGGATTAACAATATCTTTTTCATCTCGTAATGCATTGCCTGAAAACCTTAGAGGAACAGAAAACATGAGAAACACGGATCATAAAAGTGGTGATATTTCTTTAATTATATTTACCGTACCATTTTAAAATTTCTGGTGTAAGAATATGATAGGGTTCTGTAAATTCTTTATAACTAGCTAAAGCTGCATTATTAATACCGCGCATATCCGTTGCAGGATAAACCAAAATCTATTGAGAAAAATTAATTAATAGAATAGTGTATTCTAAATCGTTTTCTTATATTCTTTACTTGAAAATCAATGTTTTTCACCGAATGACAAACACTTGCAGCTATCATTCCACCTGAAACATGTTTCTTTTTGTGATAACTAAAGTAGTTTGCATCTGAGATCGAAACTCCTACCAGCACTATCACCACATACTCCAATTTTTGTGTTTGAATCGCCTCCTAATAAGAAAAGTCATTTCTTTAAAATGAAATCTGTTTTCAATTTAAAATTATACTTAAATACCATATAATTCTTTATTGTCAATAATATGTTTTGTTACTTCACAACAATCATCTAACCATACTGGAAATTTATGTTCAGGTGCAAGACGATATTCTACTGAAAACCAGGTAGTATTTGTAGTACTAAACGAATAGCGAGATATAGACAGAGCATTCTCTGTGAGCAAAAAACATACTCAGCTAAAGTATTCACAATGGTCTGATGTGTTTTTCGAGAAGCTATTGTCCATCCACCACCATGAAAATAAACAACCATTTTACTTTTATCAACATTTGTTGTTGGTCTATAAATTGTTATTGGTATGCCTATAATTGAGATACAGATGAAGAAAGAATGAAAGAAATACGTCTGGATAGTTTTCTCGAACAGAAAAAAGTTCCACGGAAGATGTATTCTTTAAATATTAGATCTCATAAATTTCTTTTACTCTCGACATTCAGAATTTTTCAAAAATGTCATCTTATTTCTGAAATGGTACAAGATTTCTGAAAATCAAGCGAGATTTTTTTGTTGTTGCAAAACTGCTCCAGACCTGTATAAAAGAAAAATAATTCATGCTCCTCATTTCTTTAATTAACGTACTATCGCCACTGCTGATTTTAATTAATTTTTCTTCTTCTGTTCCTTTGAATGTCTTTAATAGTTTTTCATTTATTTTTTGATGTATTAATTCTGAACGTTCTCGAACTCCTTGTACATTAAAAACATTTAATGGTACTGATTGTGCAAATGTTGTATATGCTATAGCTTCGTCATTCATTCGATCCCTAAAAGATGGATAAAACATAACAATGAAAGGACAGGGAACGATAAGACCGCAAATCGGCCCCCTTTCAATTCAGTCTTACATTAACCGATACAGTTTTTATCCGCGGTTCACCTTAACAAAATTTTTAGACCTTAAAAATCCTTTTCAGCGCCTCTGGACCATTTTAGCAGAAACAACTCTTCCCTTGTTAAATGACCTTTACTCAGAGTATTTTCATCATTCTACCTCTTTCACCTAGAGCAAATATCAACTATTATACACCGTTCGATAGAGAATTTCATGGACAACAAAACGAGATATCAGATGGTCATAAGAAAATGAAATTGGATGGTCTAAGATCTGAAATACTCGGTGCATCTTAGCAAACCGATAGGTCACCCTCATTCATGTTTGTACCATCCATTTAATTTGTTCTTGATCACTTTACTTTATATATCATTCGATAGATAATTTCACGGGCTGCAAAATGATAGTCTTAAGAAAATGTAACTGGGTGGTCTAAGATACGAAATACTCGGTAGCATCTTCGCAAACCAGTAGGTCATCATCGTTCATGTTTATATTAGTCAGCCATTTTCTCGTTAACCACTTCACTTTATATATCATTCGATAGATAATTTCACGGGCTGGTTTGCTAAGATGCTACCGAGTATTTCGGATCTTAGACCATCCAATTCCATTTTCTTATGACCATCTGATATCTCGTTTTGTCGCCCATGAAATTCTCTGTCGAACGGTGTATAATAGTTGATATTTGCTCTAGGTAAAAGAGGTGGAATTATGAAAATACTCTGAGTAAAGGTCATTTAACGAGGGAAGAGTTGTTTCTGCTAAAATGTTCCAGGAGCGCTGAAACGGATTTTTAAGGTCTACAAATGTTGTTAGGGTGAATCGCGGATAAAAACTGTATCAGATGAGTTAATGCAAGACTGATTTGAAAGGGGGCGGATTTGGAGTCGTATCGTTCCCCGTCCTTTAAAATTTTTAAAATTACATTTTAAATTTCTATGTTTTTGTACTTACATGAATAGTTTTCGTTTAACAATACTTATATGCCGCTGGTTTTGTCAAAAATGTGCGTCAAAATAAGAAAAGGACAGAAAAATTTTTTCTTTCGTTTTATGCCAATTTTTCAATGCAGATATAACTTATCTCCTATTATGCGTAAAGGTTAAAATGTTTTATTTTTTTCATACGAGTTAGAATATCAAAAAGAAACGAAGAAAAAAGCATCACGAATGTCGAGAAATGACGTGGATAAAAAACAGGGGCTCCAGTATCCACTTACCTTAAAAACTTTGCGAGAGAAACTGCACGATATAATAAATTAAATAATAGACAAGAATGAGTTAGATTCTAGCATCGTATCTAGAAATTACAAACGACTTTTAGAGAATTAATACAAAGGCTAGAGATTTTGGATGACTAATAACATAGACTAGGGACGAAACAACTGTCTATTAAAATTATAATGGAACTATAGCATTAAAAGTACAGTTGTATCGATTTGAAGCGTTAAAAACATAGCTTGGTTTTGTTAAACACTTATAGGTAATCCGAATATTTTTTTAATTTCGCCGTTTACTTTTATATGATATGCGATTCTTCAATTTTGCACTTTAATTTTGTACGAATAAAGTTTTGGGCATACACTGATGTTTCCTTATAAGGTCTCCAAAATTCGAACGAGTTTTTCATATTTTGTAAGTCTATCAAGGCCGTTTTACATCGTTTTTACGTCGTTTAACTGGAAATCAGAATAGCATTTTTTTCCTCAGAACAGATGTATAAAACCAATATTTCCGAAGTGGTTCAACATTTTCATATGCATTTCAATGTGTTATAAGGTTTTTTCATCCGGCGTAACTGAACCACATATTTCAGATAAGGCATATAAAGAATATCAATCAAAATCAATTCGTCTTTTTTTTTCTCTTAATTAATACTTCATCGAAAAGTACACGTGGATGACTGTAGAGTATAGATATGATTCTTGTTTGAAAAATAAAGAAGGCCTTTTGTTGCTAATGAAGGTATTTATTTTACAGCCCCAGTAATACAAAAATATGTTTCTGTTACTTAGTTCAGACACAGAATCCAGTTAGTTGTCATGTCAACAATTTTTTTAGCTGAGTCGACAAGGGGTTCTATGTACGTATTTGACACACTGACTGTTCTATTTTGGCCTGGCAAGACAGAATATACCCAGGGGTAGAAAAATTGACAAAAAGTACCGTGTTTTTTATTTTTAACCACCAAAACACGCGTTAATGGTTTCAAAACTAACGCTTTTTTTAACGCTTAAACGCGTTATTTTTATCTATTCGTTTGAAAAGGCGTTTTTTGGAATTTCACAACGCGTTAGAGAATGCGTTTTTCGATGAATGTGAACGACAGAGAAAACGTGAATTAACACGTTTAGAATTGATTGACAAATAGAAATAGAGGGACGATACAGAGATATTACTTTAGCTGACAAAAAAATAATGTACTAGATGATGCTCTCATATGTGAGACATACACTAAAACTTGATGGGAATATTGCCTTACGTAATGAATGTGTAACTGACTACTAATAAAATAGTATGACTTAGGCATTCGTGTATCGGATATCTAACATGCTCCCTCTTACGAAAAATGGTCTCATTCATAAAAAGAAAAAAATACACAATTGAAATATTTGAACAAAAAGCTTAAAGAAAACGAACAAAAAGATTAAAAACCCAAAATAATTTTATTTATAAAAGCCGAAGGAACGAAAAACATTCGTATTAGTGTGCCCATGTAAAGCCGCAATATTATATGAGTAAGCATGTCATATAAATGTTCACAACTTCTTGAACATTTATACAAGCCTGTACATACTTGTATACAAGAACAACTCTTCTCAGTCTTTAACATAACAGACTCAATTTCCTGAAAACCATTTTAGAAGATTCTTGGTTTCTCGTGGTTTAACAACAACTCAGCGGCTTATCCAAAGGTAACGCTGTGACATTTTTCACACCGTAGTTTGCATTTTTCCCGAAAACTGTAGGAGGGCGAAAGTTTGTTCCGGCGCCATTCGACGCAGCTCACCAAACTCTACTTAGGATATAGCACCGAAGATTTTGGGTTCAAGACTCGAGGTTCCAGAAAGATTTTTCGGCGAGTACCATAGTGGTCGAAAAGGTGACAAAAAAAACTAATTTTCTATACTAAGTTCATGTTTAAAGCTGGTCTAAATATAAATAAAATAACTGTTACGACTGTTATATTAGCATCGCTTGTTAATTTAGTTTATGTCCGACTATCCACCTGTAAGTCGAAACTCTACTTTCCTCTGTTCTCTCGGAAATTTCTGTTCACTTCCTTTAACACTAGTTTTTTGGAAATCTCTGTTAGTGATTGTTTTGGTATTAAATGTCGTGACTATTGAATATGCATAACTCGATTGATCTGCAACCGTCGTATCTGTCGTTGCATCAGCTAACCATTTTTGTACATTGCCCTGACAAATATAAATGGCATCTAGTTCATTAATTTCATCAACAAAAATTCAACCGGATAATAGAGTTGATTTGATGCATTCCCATTGCCGTTTCCGCCTGCCACTACACTACCTTGTGTAGCATTCACTAACCATTTCATAATTCGACTATTATATGAATCTGAAACATAAACAGATTCATTTTTATCCACATAAACACCACACGGCCAGGCAGTTGGTATAGTTGTGCATCATAGGTGCCGCCACCGGCTACTGTTGTTGTTGTTGATTCATCTGAGTCCAACTTTTTAACAACGCTGTCAAAAGGAATTGTAAAATAAGCATTATCATATTGATAATGTATGCTATAGATAGCCATGTCACAGGATCCATCAAGTTGATTTCCTGCTGAATCCCTCCCTGTACCACCAGCAATTCTAACTGCATTAGGATACCATGTAGCTGCTGAGCAGAGAATCGAGGAGGATCCTAAACAGGTATTACAATTTAGAAGATGATCCTTGTTTATCTCTATACAATTAGATTGTCGAGCACGTCAGTTTCTTTTTTTGCAACAGTGTCTAAAGCTGTGAACAGTCACGATTTCACACTACGATTTTTGAAATGAGACGCTGAAAACAGTCAGATCTAGTTTAACATTCTCGCCACGTACCGAAAGTATAGAATCTTGAATAAAGCTACTAACGTTATATGAGTTGCAGTATCATACGAAGTTTCATTACCACCTACAAAGAGAAGAAACGCACTAAACACTAAAATTAGGAAACATATCTCAGTTCACTTGTCATATGTGACACATAAACTGATGGAGCAGTGACATATCTGAGTATGCTCAACGCGTTATAATCAATTCAAAATCATATTGCGATACACGTATAATATTTTCGTGTATATTGGGCAAATGCTTGTCAGGTATCTCGATTTTTGCCCTATACTTTATATATCATTCGATAGAGAATTTCACGGGTTACAGAAAACATTTCTGAGCAAATCAAGATGCCTCTGAGCTTTTTGAAGCACACCATTTTATCAAACAACAAGTATTCAATTTAAGAAAGGTCCTATGTCACCAAAATATATCACAAAACGTTTTTTCCTTTTCTTCGCATAAGTACGAACTACTAAATTTCGGATTAGAAAGAAAACGTTTTACCTCATTCTGTAGTCCTTCAATTCTGCATCCTTCTACATACAACTGTGCCTATATCTGTCGAACAAGCCCAAGCAAAATAAGTAAGCAAGAAAATCTAGCTGCAGAAGTAGCTGCAGCGCCCACTTACAGCTAGATTAACTAGATTAAAAGGTACATTTATCTAGCTGCATGCTGGTTGAAATTGTGTACTAGCTGAAACGGCCGCTGCATAGGCCAATTAATCGAGCAATGAATTGCCCGATTAATCGATAGCAACTAGTTGTACCCAATTGAAACTAGATTCAATCTAGCTGAAGCTAGATAAAATTTTCATATATTTCTGTGCAGCTAGCTGAAGCTAGATAAATG